CAGAAACGTATATATGGACTTTCAGTAGCCTATTTAATAATAGAGCAAGTTGCTTGCGTTTCCTAATAACACATATTCAAGTAAGAAATGGCAGCTAGTAACAGTGATAACAGAATACACAAAGTCAGCTTTATAAGTAGTAAGGAATGTCCTTTTTACTCTTCGGTTTTTTATGGATTAAACAAACAAGATATAACGTGTTCATGAGTGAGCTTTAGAGGTGTTAGTGCATGGATTTCGTCACCCTCTGACAGAACCAGACTAGCTTTGTTTCCCCCGTTTCCAGTCTTTATACTAAGGTAAGCTGGCTTGCTGGCTTCATATTAAGTGGACGGATATTAAAGTGGAATCAATCCTCTCATCTAACTCTCAAGCAAGAAAGCAAATAATTGTATTTCCCAAAATGTCAAGCTAAGTGCTTTAAAGGACCAGTGTGTGGGATTTAGTGCCATCTGGTGGTGAATCTGCTCATTGCGCCTAACTGAACCGTGCTGGCTTCTGTATTTGACGACCTAGGAATGAGAACCGGCTGTGAAGTGTGAAGGAGAAACTACTGTGGTCATGAAACATGCAAAAAATTTAAAAGGCCCTATCTTTTTCCCTAGAAGGTGAGTCCCTCCTGAGCTACTGTAAAAACATGGTGGATTCCATTGAACAATTCCTATATTCAGGTGATTATACATTCATGAATATTATATTCCATTTATGCCAATAGAGCCTCCTTAATGTTACACACTGGACCTTTAAGGCTAAAACAGTTGACTTGAGGGTGAATGAAGTCAGTTTGTTACTGGAAAACCTGCTCTAAGGTTCACACCAGTCAAAAGAAGCCTGGCCTAAACAGACCAGCCTGATTCTGGACAGATGGGCCCTTGGGAGCCAAGAGGACTCTGAGACTGAGGCAGAGAGACATTTGGGGAGAGGCAGAGAGGGGGGGAGGCAGCATGGGGGAGGAGTTGAGGAGCAGTTTAAAAATATGATATGGAGTTTTGGTGCTTTCCCCAGAGGGAATAAAAGATTCAAACTGGGCCAAAGACGGACCACACACAGTCACCTACATGTATGCAACACACACAGACACACACACACACAAACACCAAACTGTAGAATTCAGCCACACTAGAAAGCAGCCCAGGTTAGGCAGACAAGAAGACCATTTCTTGTGCAGACAGTTTAGCAGGAAACAGAGGGAGGGAAAGAGAGAGAGAGGCTCGACTGAGGCACAGACAGGTAGAGGAACAGCTCATTAAACTGAATGTGAAGGGTTGCAACCGACAGTTTGGGGTATTTTTGTTAGACAGACCGTATAGACTGTCGCAGGTGTCATTACACAGGTAGTGTCACTAAGAACGGCTGGTGTGGAATTAATGGAGAGCTTTAGTGAAGGAGTAGCGCAACAGTGTGCCTTGAAAGTTTAGTTTAGGACCATTTCTAATGCTAGAATAAAAACAAAGAAAAAAAGAGATGTGTGTGGCTGTAGAGATTCTTATGTCTGCGTGTTGCACTGAAATGGTCAGGAAATATTTCTTCAGACCATACCCATCTCCTCTCTCTTTCTTTCTTTCCCTGATTACTTCAAAGGCTGCAACTAGGCATAAAGTATGTTGAGTAGATGTTACTTTTTATGAATTAATTGATGGCTACATGCAACCATTGTTATCTGTACCAAATGTACAAACATGTTTTTTACCGTGGTAACAAATTCAGTATCGATAATCGTGGCATTGGTATTGACTACTTCATTTCTGGTAATGTGATATCCTTAATCCTTTATGTTATTTGGATTAATGGTGATGTTACCTCTTCCACCTGTCCTCACCACCTGCATTTGTATTTTTCTCTTGTGCGTGCACCTGGGCAGCGGGTGTCAGTGTCAGGGCTTCCTCACTGGAGCGAAATCTGTGAACCGGTGGTCACAGACCATTAGTCTCACAGTTTCAGACATTAACCTCCATTAGCATCTCTCACTTCAGTAAGCCTATTCTGTGTGCACACCCATTTGAAAATTAGATATATTATGACTCACTGAATTAAGCTCGTCATACTTCATATTTTGTGACAGTTTGTTAGTGATCTGTACAGTGAGTGTATGTGTTGACGCTAAAATAGGAAAGCGATCTCTCTCAGTATACCTCTATAGCTGTTATTCTAGACCCTTCTCTATTTTCCACCCTTTCTGGATGAATCACACTTACCCAGTAGATACCTGTGGAGGACACTTCGGCGAGACATTTTCTCCAAGATGCTGCAGCCTCCAGGCATGAGATCATTGTGTGCTGCGACATAAAAAAAAAATCTCTATAAGGAATACATATAAGAGACATACAGTGTCACTTTCAATCAAGTAGGGACCTGTGAAGGGCACAAGGGGGGCAACGATGTGCGTGTTCTCATGTTCAGTGATTAAAAAACAGTCACATTAAGTGCTCTTGCCTCCCATAGCTGTTTCCAGGCAGTAAAAATACATCTAAGGTGATTTATGAGCTTATGTTTGGAAGAGCACATATGTGACTTGTACAAAACACTCCCAAGTTTTTTAATTTGTATGAGTTTTCAGGTAGAAAAAAAAAAAAGAAAGAAAAAATGAGATCCCATATGGCCAGATGACCCTTTTGGACTGACCACTCTACAGTGACTTTAAATGGGCCGCCAGTCGTGAGGCTGTCTGACTCTAAATCAGGCATTTGGCAGGGAGGAGGAGGACTAGAGAGATGGAGGAGGAACAAAAGGGGGTCAGAGAAATAGGGGGGGTGGGGGGGGGGAGGGGTGGGGGGGGGGAGAAAGAGGGACAGGAAGGCAGTGGGCGGAGGAGGCCGAGGAACGCGGCAGGTGAACGAGAAGATATCGGGGAAGAAGAGAGGAAAGTTACGTGGGGTGTGAGGAGGAGGATCAGAAGCGGAGAAAATAGGCAGGACATTGGGGAGAAAGAGGCGGGAGATGCTGGCAAGGGGAGATAAAGCAATAGGGAGATGATTGGAGATGAAAATCGGGACAGAGGGATTGCAGGAGGTGGAGAAACAAAAAAGAGAAACAAAATTGGCTGGTGGAGAGGAAGGAGGGCCAGCAAAGTGGTTGGAGGAAGAGGAGGAGGGATAGGGAGATGTTGGGAGGGAGACTAAAAGTGATATCCAGGCTTAAAGGAGTTTTTATTGTGTAATAGGCTGATGGTCTGACTGCTGACTGCGTTACAGTGGCCTGCTTACTTATGACAAGTTAATGCTTCACTGACTTTATTATGGGAGGAGAACGGGTGGAGGGGTGGAGGGGGGGGGTTAAGATGAGAGAGACGGGGCAAAACCGACAAGCTTTGACGAGGGCAAATGAAGAGAGCAGTAAAAAAGATGGCGGATGGAAAGAGAGCTGCTGTTTAGGCAGTAATAAAAGGTCAGAGACTCAGGGGGCCCGCTGCTGTCTGACAGCAGGACACACAGCAACCTATCAGACAGACAGAAGAGAGGTGGGGGTAGTGGGCAGACAAAGAGACAGACAGACAGACAGAGGGGGAAATTATTGGTGTGTGTGACAGAGCCCGATAGAAACAGCTGATTTTCCACCCTAAAAACTACAACATGGCTAATTATGTGAACAAAGGCAGCAAATGGGTACGTAGCCTAATAATCAGCCTCAAGTATCCATTATTTTGATCCCATGGTCCTTTTTCGGCAGGGGTATGGGAGCATTCGAGGCTTAGCCCAAACGTAGGGGGGTCCAGGGCCGCGCTCCCACTAGGAGATCTATTTACAGCAGCTATGCACTATATTTCCAGCCAGTTAACAGAAAATCTTTACATTTTGAGGGAAAACGTGACAGTTCCTGTGGAGCCTACATCCTGTTTTGAATTTGATTGTTCTGCAACTGTCTTCATCATTCTGAAACCCTAACAAATGCTGAGGATGACTAATCTTCACTCCTACCACCTAAAAAGAGGCAAAAATTGCCTGATGTTATTATTTTTATGTTACATAACATAGGTAGGGGAGGATTTTGGTGTAAATAGCATTACTAATCATAAACCCTATTTTGTGATCTTCAATATGCTGAATTGAATATTATGCCAACAGAAGCACATTTACTTCAATTATATTACATTTCTTTAGGGAATAGCATAGGGTTAACACAACAGGCTTATATTATTTTCCTACAGTACTTGATTTGATCTACTCCTGGTCACTCTGTTCTCTATTTCTCCTCTTTTCTTCTTAACTTCTCTCACACTCCCAGCTCCACTCATTTATCCCTGGATATTTCCTCAGAGGATTCAAAATGTATCTGCCGAAACAAGTCTTAAGTCAATAATATGCAGATAACTCTGGTGGCCTACTTTTTAAATCTAATTTCTAACTATTAACTATGAAGATTCAACCTTTCTGGGAGCATATCCTCAATACATAACAACTGCTACTTTCTGGGAAATTACTTGTGTTTAAAAGGTGATTTTTTTCTTTAATAATTGAATTTCTTATCTGGTCATTTTTGGAATTAATGAGATTTGTATCTTTGTGTTTAAGTTAAGTTGTATACTTGCAAAAAAAAAAAGGATAAGTTAGTCTAATTTCTAAAACTTTTTATGGTAGCACTTTGTAACAGTTGCACAGATGTTGTGGACAACCTGTATATATATTTAGCTGTATTAACCTGTTCATAAACTGGGGGGAATAAGTAGCCTAAATGATGTAACGTTATTTGCTACTTGACACACAATTAGCATTTAAAAACAGCGCCTTACAAAGTCCACTTACTTCTAAAGCTTTCAGCCACATCTCATGACCTTCCTCTGGGCAATGTGAGCTACCGTTAATGAAAAGGCCGCCATGCTCTTTCTAACTGGGACTACGTTGGTTTAAAACCAGCCACCATAGTGTACAGTGTGAACAACTTCGCTTCAGGTACAACCTCAACCGCGTGTATTTCTGTTTGACGCACTGCCGCCATCTTGTGGTCATTACTAGGATTTCAGCAGCTCTTCGGCGCGTCCGTTCAGTTTGGACCTAGCAGGTAGCCGTAAGGAGGAGCAAACGTCGCCTTAGCAACGGATAGGGTTTTAGCTAAATGAGTAGCAGCCAGGGTTTCCCTTTGCTTGAATTAGTCGCAAAGCAAAGACGCCTTAAATTTCTAGTGCAATGACGGAAGCCGTGATGGCTACGAACAACCCGTCGGTGTTTCTGCTGACAGTGAACGGACAAATAGAGGGCGCGAACGTGAGTGGTGCCTCTGAGCTTTAGCCTAGCAGCTCATTTCAGCCAGCATTAGCAACGCTCGCGTAGCGGTTATTAACGTAACACCGTGAGTTTGTGTTTGTGTTAACGTTACTGCCGCCTATAATGGTGATACTTGTGTTCTGTTTCAGTTCCCAGAGTATGACAACTTGTACTGCAAATATTGTTTTGTCTACGGTCACGACTGGGCTCCCACCTCGGTGAGTATCTGGCTACTTTACCTGAGGGATGATAGTGGTTGGTGTCAAATGGTGAATCATTTAATCAGGGAGGAAAGTTATTAACTTTGGACAACAGGGTGGAAAATTCTGAAAATGATTTTATTATAAAATTGCAGTTGTTGTTTTGAAGGTGCATTAAAAATGGTGCAGTAAGATATGCTGCAGTCTCATAGTCCTGTTCAATAAAGATCTATTAATTATTCCCAAAGGGTTGAAAAACACTTTTATTCCATGATGTTCAGATAATATAGAACTTTTTCCACATGCATGCACTGTTCAATGAAACAGTTCAAGTCATGTCTGTTTATCACCTTACCAGCCTTTGTGTATGTGTATCTGTGTCTCTCTAGGGGTTGGAGGAAGGCATCACACAAATAACCTGTAAAGGCAGTCACTCTTCACACAGATTAATATGGAACTTCCCGCTGGAGACAACGTTTAAGAGTACAAACCCCTCTGGATGTGAGCATTACACACACACACACACACCAGCTTGGTAGCTGCTGCTTTATTCATACATTGATAAACATTTCCTCATGTTCCAATGATGCATTTTAGGCCCCTCAGTAATCACATTGCATAGAAATGACACTGAGGAAGACCAAAAATAAGCTTTTTATTTTCCAGGGCCTCAGCTCGTGGTGAGTGTGTACGGTCCGGACGTGTTTGGCAACGACGTGGTCAGGGGTTATGGAGCGACACACATCCCCTTCACACCTGGACAGTCAGTATTACCTCTCTCTACTTCCTCTTCTATTTTAGGGGACGCACCCAGTGGTGCAGTGCACGATACATGGAGTATAAACACTTATTTTTCAGTCAGCGTAGGGTATACCCACTTCTAAATCCC